TTCTCCTGCCTTAAGTTGGTGTGAACCAAGATCCGGAGATAAACAACACGAAAGTCTAAACAAAATCATAAACACCCCCATTATGTACAGCTAGGTCACCTGGAAAAGTTACCTCACCAGTATCTGTGAAAAACCAAAGCAGCATCTTGTACTTACTGATGTTGCTTATTGTCCCTCCCCACCTAGAGGAGCAGCTGATTCCTTCCCGAGCAGCCCTTCTGGAGCAGGTGAAGAACCTTCAGCCCGTCTTGGACATTACCAGTATCCAAGGTATACATACTCTGCTGCAAGTTTAAGCTGCAAATGCCACCCCCAGGCTGTTGCCTGTCCTGTTTTGGTTTGTGGTTATTGTGTTTCTTTTCTTTCATGAGCCTCAAACTAGAGGACAGCAAAGCAGACGAACCAGAGTCAGTAGAATAGGTATAAACTTAGTGGGATGTCTTTGCCTCTCTTGTGCTGCAGTGATGTCTCAGGCAAGGTCAGGGATGTGATAGAATAGGTCAGGAAGCAGGTTAGAGACAGCATCATGGCAGAGAGGGTGGAGACAGGCAGGGAATTCCTACCTGTGAACCTATTCCTGTTCCCGGCATAGATGGAGATGCCTTTTTAATTGCTTGCCATAACATTCATCCAAGTAGGTTACTCTGATGTAGTTCTTGATTAACCCTCAACTTGCAAGCATCCCCAAACTCATTCTATCCAGAAGAGTTAGCAGATAAACTTGGTATTTAATATGGAGGGTAGCCAGTGGTGCTTTTTAATCATATAAAAGTTGTGTTTGTGGTGTGTGGCACTTGCATTCAGTGAGTAGAGTTCTACTGTGGTGCTCTGGTGGAGAAGGAATGGTCTTTGTTTTGAGAACTAATCCCATGTGCTGTGAAACAAACTAAATGGATTTCTCTTCTGTGCTCTCAGCGGTTCCTGACCAGGCAGCCAAACTGCAGCGACTGTCTCAAATCCACATACAGCAGCAGGTAGCATGAATATTCTTGACAGTCCTGACTAGCAGGGAGGAGTAACCATTTGTCAGTAGCTGTACTGACACTCGTATATGTGCAGTTGCTTGAATTTATAGCAGGGTTTTTCAGTCCCAGGATATTCATAGTGCAGTCTTAAGTTTAAGCACTTGGGTGGGAAGTACTTATGATTTCTGACAACTGAGTCTGAGCTGGAAAAGCACTTTGCCTACTGTAACTGCTCAAACCAGAGGTTTGAGTGACAGTAAGTGGCAGTGGGTTTAACCAGCTGGAATTTCCCCTTTCACTGGAACACTAAGGTAAAGCATTGCAGTCTTCCAGTGTCTTTGTTCTGGAAGGCTGTTGACTTCTGTCGTCTTGTCACTTCACCCTTTTCTTCCCCGTTTGAGCACTCCTGAAGCTGGCAGTGGGTAGCTTGGGTAGTGCCTAATGCCCCTTTGAGCATTTAGCTGTAAGTTTCCATTCTGGGGAAAGCAAGGCATGGGTGCTGAGGAGAGGCAGGCAGTAGTGCAAGCCCAGGGGCTTTGCTGCATTGTAATCATGGGTGTTCGTAACCTTTCTCTTGGATGTTTAAATCCTTCTAGCTGCCATGAGTGGCCACAGTCAGAGCCTGAGCTGCAGTCTCTGTTCTGGCCTTGAATGGGTGTTGGCAGGGACTGGGAAGGCAGATGTCCTTCAGTTTATTTGCTGTTCACTGACTACGGCTCCCCTCTTTGCAGGAACAGCGTCACCAGCTCACTGACAGTGTCAAGACACTCCTTGAAGACTACAACAAGATAGTATCCTTTGAGCCTTGAGCCATGCACAGCTGAACTGCTGTGTCAGCCTGTCTCCTGGGCTGACTCCTACCATCAGATGTTGTTGGATCCACACCCCTGGGTTCAATGGCCAGTGTCCTTTCTGATGTGGTGACCCCATGTCCTTGTCATATCCCTCTCAGGAGTGGAGCTAAGGGCCAAAACTGCTGATTTGTGAGAAGAGAAGGGCAGGGTGCCACTGTGAGCCAGAGTCCCTGTGCTGGATCTGCTCACAGTGTGCTGGTGTCTCTGCCAGATGACTGCTGGTCTCTGCAACCTGCATGAGCTAAACAGCGGCTGCTCTTGTCTGCATAGAATCCCAGTTCTGAGACATGCCCTAAAACCATGGAGGGTAGGGAGGCTCTGCTCTTTTCTGTAGAAAGACCCTTGAAATGCAGTGTTCAGAAGTGCCTCCTGAGCTCCCATTGTTGTTTGGTGCTCGGCAGTGGCTCAGCGCCTGGGTGGTTTGAGTCCATGCAGGATTTCTGCAGTCTGGTGTCAAGGGCTTTTCCTCACCCGAGGAATCAGGATTGTACCGGGACTGTTGCGGTGCTCTGAGCTTGGTTTCTTCCCTCCAGTTCCCACATCTTTTTCCTTAAGAGTCGCATCCAGACCCTGCTTCTCTCCAAGCAGTTTGTCCAGTGGAATGAAACACTGACTCAGCTGGAAACTGCCAAGGAAGCCAAACCCGTGGCAGAGTAATGGGCAACCCAGGAGCACTGAGAACCCAGGGGACCCTGCTGGCCTTTGGTCTCTCTGGAGAGAGACCTCTGCTTCCACCCCACAGATATCTGCATCTTCCCACTTGGCGTGAGCTTGCTGCCAATGGCACTGCAGCACACAGGGTCACCCTGGCTCTGTGTCCAAGTTGTGTCAGCTCCAATGTGAAGCCACGCTAATATCACAGTTCGCAAGTCTTCCCTGAAACACCTTTTGTTTTCTAACATACTTTAAAATCCCTTTCTGCTGTACTGTGAATTGTAGTAAAGTACTGAAACAGTGACTGGCTTCTTGTCCTCCCTGGGTGCAAAGACTTGGGTCATTCTCTTTTCCCAAGCAACAAGTGATAGGACAAGAGGTAGTGGCTTCAAGCTGCACCAGAGGAGGTTTAGATTAGATATTAGGAACAATCCCTTCCCCAGAGAGTTGGAACAGGCTGCCCAGGGCAGTGATGGAATCACCATCCTTGAAAGTGTTCAAAAACCATGTAGATGCCCTCAGTGACATGGTTCGGTGGTGGACTTGGCAGAGGTGGGGTGATGGTTGGACTTGATGATCTTCAAGGTTGTTTCTAACCTGGTTGATTCTGTGATTCTAAGGACTCATCCTGCCGCCCTGGTCCCCCACCAGCTGGATTTCCAAGGCTCTGAACTGCAGAGGTCCTGTGGCAGCCTACAGATTGCCAGTACTTTCACTGAGCCTTGGGCCAAGGTAAATCCCTTCCAGCCCTGCACCCTTCCCCAGGCTGTGGCACAAGCTCTTACGGCTCTTTCTCCCCTTTCATGAGAGCTGCCAGTGCCCAGGGGGATCTGGCCTGATGGGGTTCTTCCGCTGGGCCCTTCTCCCATCCCTGAGCTGAGAGCAGGCAGTGGCTCTTGCTTTAACCCTGCTTCTGCTCACCCAGCAGCTGCTGCAAGCTGGAGCTCACAGTGGGCTCGTTCCCCTTCAGAGAGGGGTGTGAGCTGTGCCCGGCCTGCTCTGGCCATCACCTGGAGTTTCTTCTCCCACAGAGCTCTTCCCGAGTCTCGCTTTTAGAAGGGTCCCAAACCCTCATCCTCGGTGGGACGCGCACCAGCTGCGTGTGCGCAGGGATGGTGCGGGGCCCCAGCACGGAGGAGCTCGGCCGACCCTGTGCACAGCACCCACAGCACCCAGACGGAGCTCGTCGTGGAGGCTGCTCCCCGCGGGCCGCTCCCGGCCGGGTGCGCACCGGGACCCCGGTGCGAGCGGGAGCTCCGGCTCCGGGCCGGCAGGGGGCAGACCCACACCCAACCCGTGGCACCGCCCACCGCGGTGACGTTGCGAGAGGCGGGAAGCGGCGCCCCGCCTGCCTTCTACCGCGCCTGCGCACGGCCGCCATCTTGTGGTGAGGGGCACTCTGAGGCGTCCGCAGGTGAGGCGCGTTCCCGCACCCCGACCCGCTGCCCTGGTCCGGCCGCCCACCGGGCCCGACCGCCTTCCCCATGGGCTCTTCTGGTGCAGCCCGGCCTCCACCGGGACCCCACTGAGGCGCCCGGCCTCCCGCAGCCCCCCATGGTGCGGCCTGCCACCCTCCCCGCCCGCCTCATGCCCCGCAGCAGCGGCCTGGCCTCCCTCCCCTCCAGCCGCCTGGCCGCCTTCCTCCCCCAGTGTGCGTTCCCTGCACAGCGGCCTGGCCCTTCCCAGGCCTTCGCCTGCCTCTCCCCGCACCCACCCCCACGTCCCAGTAGCGGTAGGTTCTCCAGGCTTGTCTTTCCTAACCCAAGCGACAGGAAGCTCGCCCTTCCCTGGCATCCTCTGGCAGCCCGCATCTCCATCTCCACAGCAGCAGTGTCCCCAGCCCCTGTGTCAGCCCACTGCCGCCGTAAGGGTGAAGGCTTCGTGGAGAGTGTGTGCTTTCTATGTACAGAGGGGGGACGTTGGCCAGGCCTGTTTCCATAGGGGATGAGGTGGAATGTGTTGGTTGTGGGTGAAACAGGGCTCATGACCCTGCAGATAACAAAGCCTTAGTGCTGTGTGCTTTGGCACGTTGGGCGTTATGTGGTGGGAAGAGGAATGCTCTACTCAGGCAGGTTTTGGTTGGGTTGGCAGTAGAGGGATCCAGTCTTGGCAGGGAGGGGAGCTATAAGACTGGACCTTTCTGTCTTTCCCTCAGAAAGCACGTTTTTTGTTCATCAGCTGGTTTTCGTTTGTCTTGCTTTTTGCTGGTTACCTGTCTCTGCCTGCAGCCCCTGACCTGCGCCTGTCTGCCCTGCATAGCTTTATCAAGTATCCAGTCCCTGCCCTTTCACCTGGGCTGGCCAGACATGGGGTTCAGAGCCCCAGGACACTGTTTCTGAGACAAAAGTGAGCTGGTGCAGTTGAGCCATGCCTCAGTTCATCGTGCCTATGTTCTGGTGTGTCTCACAGGGTGCAGATGTGGTCAGTGTACCCCTGGCTTCTGTTCCTGGTAATCTCAGCTCACCCATTTGTTCTCTGTTTTGCTCTGAGGTACAGCCTGTATTTCTTACTTCATCCAGCTTAGGCCCACAACTCTGTTCCTGTCACCACCTGCCTGTCGGGACCAAGGCTGACCTCTGGCAGTGTTTGTGCTGTAGGTATGTGCTGAGGAAGACAGGTGGCTCCCCGGCATGATGATGGCATTCCTGCTGATCTTTTGGATATGCCTTTTCAGGATCCCCAGCTCTGACAGCTCGGAGTGCCCTTTAGAGGAGAAGTTGTAGCTGATTGTGGTGAGGGTTCCTTTCAGTGGGAGCTTGTATTAACAGATCTGTTTTCCTTTTCCGCACTCTAGAATGGAGAACTATAAGAAGACCAAAATTGTGGAGAAACCCTGTCTTCATCCTTTCACCAACTTGCCCCCTGACATTATTGAAATGAAGGTGAAGGATGGGAGCAAAATCAGGAATCTGATGGGCTATGCCATCAGCAAGATGGAGCTGGACTCGGTGAGGCAGATTCTTTTCACTGGCTCAGGCAAGGCTGTCAGCAAGACCATCACATGTGTGGAAATCATGAAACGGAGGCTCAAAGAACTGCACCAGATCACCAAAGTGCTCTTCAAACAGATTGAAGAGATCTGGGAACCCATAGTGCCTGAGGCAGGTCTCGATACCTTGACAGTGAAGAGAAACATTCCCGCCATATGTGTCCTACTCAGCAAAGACGCCCTCAATCCTCAGGAGCCGGGGTACCAGGCTCCAGGCTCTTTTGATGCCTTCTGTATTGAGACACTTGCAGCAGAGTCCCAGGGCCAGGTGAAGAGGAAGCAGGGTGGAGGCAGGGGAGCTGGCAGCACTGGGAAGCACCCTCACTTCACTGGAGGAGCACCTCGAGAGCCCTGCACCAAGTCTTGACACACCAGCACTGAGCTTGGGTGTAGTTTGGGGGAGCATCAGAAACAAACCAGCTGCTGCTGCTGGAAAGCTGCTGCTGAACACGGGGGCTTGCAGAGTGGTCAGGGGAGGGCAGGAGGAGTTCACTGTTTCAATAGGGTGTGTCTGTAGGTGTCTGAAACTGTTTTGACAAGTTCCCTTGTCAAAGGGCTGCCAGGCTGTACACATTAGCTGCGGTTCAGGGATCACAGGAGGTGTCTCTGCTTGAGCAAGGTTCAGGGAAGACAGGAGTTCTCTCTGCATGAGCAATGGCCATCAGTCTCTCAGGAGGGGTGGTGCAGTGGCCCAAACAGGAGCTGTGCACACCAAGCACTGTTTGTGCAGTCAGGAGGCTCTCACTGGTGTGGAGGGGAGATGGCCCTGACATGCATTCCCAGACAGTGGAGCACGGGGCTTCTCTGCCTGTGCTGAGCTTGTGGGGCAGTTTGAATGTAACACTGCAGGAATACAACTCCATCTGCATGCACGTAGCTCCCTTTCTATCCTCCTTTCTGCCAAAGTGGCAGGGGGTCGGGTCGTGTCGTAATCAACCTGAAATCCTGTACCTGCGCAAGTGCCCGGGGTGGTGATGGTAGGCTCCAGAGGACCCTGTTCTTTCCCGTTTCTGCTCCTTTATAACGCACAAGGGTGGGTTTGAAATAAAGTTTCCTGTTCATGTAACGTGAAATTTGTCATGTCTTCCTCACCCCGCTGGAGGTCACCCTGTCAGCGCCGGTGCTGCGGCTACTGGCTGGAGCTCTGCTCCTTCGGCTTTCCAGAGGAAGAGAGGACTCACTGCTCCTCTTGACCGGGAACAGATGTGAAGTGGGAGATTTTCTTCCTGGCTTTGCTGATCACCTGTAATACCCAAGAAAGGTCAGCGCTATAGGCTTGTTTTTCTGGGAAGCTTTTTGCTATTTTGTTTTAAACCAACTAGAACTGCAGTTTTGGAAGGACTCGGCCCAGCATCTGAGTGAGGCAAAGAAAAAGACATCAGGTCCTTTTTAGCACTATAATTTCCTGCTGGAGAGTGCTACTGGGCAGTACGGAGCGTTCAGGTGACGGGGTGAGCTCCCACCAGCACAACCCCCTGCTCACACTGTCCCCAGCGCTGCCTGTCCTATTCCCAGTCCCTGCCTGTGTTGGCAAGCTGCAGCAGGACCCGATGCTCTGCCTTGTCAAGTCAACAAGAAACAATATAAGCATTTAAAAAGATTTTATCTAAATCCAGGCAGCAGGAGAGATGGTGGGTTACCTGCACAACCCAATGCCTGCACAGGCAAGGCTTCTCTCGTGCCCTTGCATCAGTAGAGCTCTCACCAGCCAAAAGCCTAGTCCTCTTGCCTTCTGGTGGCCTCATGCTGTGCCCCACCATTGTCCCTGGAGCTCAGTAGGAGGTCAGGAAATGACCAGACTCCTCTGTGGTGCTGGTGCAAGGGACAGAGTTAAGCTGCTTTACCTTGGTGTTGCTCCCAGTTGCTGCTCACATATGTCTTAAGGAGGAGGCTGCTTTTCTTGACTAATTAGCAGATTAGTGATAAATGCCAAGGAAAGATGCTCAAGTGTCTGAACAAACAGCTTCTGACATTGCAGCAAGCGATGTGTTTGTGTTTGTTTACTGTTAAATGCACCCTCTTGGAGAACCGCTGATCCTCAAACAGCCAGTGTAATCCCCCCTCTCGGCGGTGGCAGATTTTAACGCCTTCTCACCAAACCTGCAGAGTTGGTCTGTTGTTTCACAAGTGACCCTCGGCTGACTGAGCCCCCTGGGGCTGGCTGCAGCACATCCCCCCATGTGTCACTGCTGTATGTCCGTGCAGCCCAGCCATGGCTTTCCAGAGCAGCTCCAACAGTGCCTCCGCAGCAGCTCCACCAGGACCTCCAACAGTGGGGAGAGCCCCTGTGTGCTCCCAGCGACTTCCCCTGTGTGCGACCTCTGTGTCCTTCACAGGCAGGGCTGTTGCAGTTACCTGTCTCCTGCTTCAGCTTCCTCAGAGGGCAGGTAGCAGCGGCTGTGCCTTGGAGGGCAGATCCCCAAGCACTGAATGTCCATAAGGGACTTGTCAACGCCTGATCCGTGGCAGTGCCCGTGCCCACCCTGCCTGCAGCCCTTGTGTCCCAGCAGGGACCCCAGCCCGGTCCTGCCCGCTCACACTGAACATCCGCAAGCCCAGGGCTTGAGGTACACGTGTGTCGCACACGTGTGTGCACACGTGTGAACAGGGGCAGGGCAGGCAGCGGCAGGTGGTGAAGGGCAAGATGAGGCAGTAGCAGGGAGAGCCGGGCAGGGCAGGGCAGGCAACGGCGGTGTGTGGAAGGCAGCCTGGCCCGGGCAGTGCAGGCAGGTAAAGCAGGCAGCACGTGCGGGACAGGGCCGGCAGAGCGCGCGCTGCCCAGCTGCCCTCCCAGCCGCTCACGTGTCCGCCGGCCGATGAGGGCGGGACCTGATCCGAGCGCTCGCCCAATGGCGCACTCCGGGCGAGGGGCGGTAACCAATGGCCGGGGGTGGGGCACCCTTAGCCACGCCCCCGTCCCCCGGTGCCGGCGGGAGGTGGCGGGCAGCGCGCGGGGCTGCGGCATCCATCGGGCGGCCCGTGGCGGGTTCGAGCACGGGTCGGTTCCTGCTCCTGCTCCTGCTCCTGCTCCGCTCCGGCACCAGCACCGCGACCCGGCCCCAGCGCCCCGCTCCGCGCAGGGACCCCGCGCAGGGACCCTCCTCCGCTCTCGCACCGGGACCCGGCCCGGCAGCGCCGCCCCCCAGCTCCCCACCGGCGGGGTCCCGGCGGCCCCCGGGCGGAGCGGAGGCAGGTGGGTAACAACGGGGTCCTGCTGCGGGAGCGCGGGCTCGGCGGGACCTGTTGCTGCGGGAGTCCCGCTGCACGGCGGGGCGGGAATTAGAGGGACGGGGGACCCCCGAGGCCGGGGCTTTGCCCGACAGCACAAGGGCGGCTGCCCCGCACCCCACTTGCTGCCCTCTCAGCCGCTCGCCCCGTTTTGGGGTGTGGGGTCCAGCAGGCAGGAAAGAGCCTGGGAGTGGCCGGGGAGGGGTGTTTGTGCCGGGATGAAGCCGTGGGTTTCCCATGGGATACGTCCAACTTGGTGGCTCTGGCAGGGAATGAGGGGAAAAGCCGGGGTGTGGGGTACGGGATGGGTCCCGGGATCTTCTGCAGCCCCCAGACGCTATCAGAGCCCCGGGTCCGCTGCCCGCTGGCACCCCATATTGCCCCCGGAGGGGTCGGGCAGCCTGTCCCCTCATGGTGGTGGTGACGGTGACTTTCTCCCTTCCAGATGCCGGAGGGAGGAGAGGGGTCCCCGTGTGCCCCCGCTGTGCTGCCAGAGGAGGGCAAGCCAAGAGGGAGCTCCCATCACTCCTTTGTAGCAGCGTGGTGAAGCCCAGGACACGGCTGCGAGCGCCCAAACTGTGACGGGGCGCTGGGGTCCTGCTGCCTGCCTGTCCCCATCCCCGTCCGACCGTCAGCGCCGCCGCCGCCCCCTTCGTCCCCCGCCAATGCCGGCGGGTGGAGGCTGCTCCCTCGATCGCTGCGCTGGCACCGCAAGCGTGGGGCCGAGCTGCGGGACCCGCTTCTCCTCGCGGGACGGCGGCGATGGGGGCTGCGCTCTCCACCGGGGCGATCGTGGCCATTTCTTTTAACTGCGTTATCGCTTTGCTCATCCTCATCCTCTTCCTCATCCTCTGCAAAGCCTGCAGGACCCCCTCGTGCCCCAAGAACAATCCGGGTGCTGAAGTGGATGAGGCAAAGAATGAAGAGAAGTACCTGCTGCAGCGCTGAGCTGCTCGGGGACCCAGGTACCCGTCTGTGCCGAAGGAGTTGTTGTGCCAGTGTGGATGCCTGCTCTGGGACTGGGGATCTGGACTGGGTACGGTGAGAGCAGAAGGGATACGGAGCTGCTGGCTGGCGCTGTGACGCAGGGCACAGCCCTTTCTTTGCCTGTGTGGTTTTGGTGTGTGAAGTCCCTGCAGATGCCCACAGTGACCATGGGGATGGAGAAACAGAGGCTGGAATGTGCTACGGAGTCAATCCTGCCTGTCCCAGTGGCGACTGAGCACCGCAGGAGCCCTGCCCTAGAGCACACCCCCTGTTTGGGGATAGCCCATGGGCTTCTCCCTGTGCTCGTGGCCTGGGACACTGGCTATGGTATCACAGACCTGAATGGGGCTTGGAGAGGGGAGGCAGCGGGGCTGGCATCGCCTGTCCCCCCGCTGTCCCATAGTGGGGTGTGCCTGGGGGAATCACTGCAGCCCCAGCCTGGCTGGCAGAGCAGGGTGTTAGTCTGGGTGTCTTTGGGGATGGCCTTGGGGTGCCAAGTGCCCCCAGAATCATGAAGGCATTTGGCATCTATCTGCCCCAGCAGCCAGTTTAATGAGCCACAAGAGAGTCTGCATGGTCTGTCCATTCATCCCTGGTCTATCAATCCCCTCCAGCATTAGCACCAACGCTGCTAGGCAAACAGCCCTCCTCCTTGCTCCCTGCCTGTCCCTGCCTTCCCTCCTGCCTGCTCCCAGCCATGGCCAGTGGGGTTTGACCTGTCTGTGGGCAGCAGATGTGCCTTTGTTGGCATCCCCACCCCTGCTGCAAGCAGCTTGGGATGGGGTTTTGCTGGGAAAGGTGGGAGTCAGTGGGGAGATGACAGTGCCCGGATGAATGGCATTGGAGGGTCTTCCAGCCCCATCGCTCCCTAGAGACCACAGTGGCTCTGTGGGAAGGGATGCTGGTGGTCTGGTTTGTCCCTAAACTTGGCAGCTGCATTCTTCTGCCCTGCCTAGAGTTTTTTGGAGGGCTCTATCCTGCCCATCCTAGAGCTGAGCAATACCCGAGCCCCCCTGGCACAGCCTCTACAATATGGGGATAGAAACACGGGCTGTGCTGGGAGGGACACTGGCCAGGCCTGGCAGAGCCTGCAGTTCCTCCCCATATCAGGTGTAGCTAACACTTCCCATTGCAGCGTTGTTTTTACTAGACTAATAAACTGATTGTAGGACTCAGGAGGTGTCTCTGAGCTCTGCCCAGTGCCTGGTGAACTCACACAGCGGAGGCTGTGTGTCCTGCAGGGCTGAGGAGTGGCTGCCCCAGGGCTGGTCCTTGCAGGACTGCCCGCAGTTTGCTGGGCAATGGTGACAAGGGCTCATGTCTGCATCTTTATGTGGCTTTTAAATGCTGGGTGAGCAGCCTGGCTGGATGTTTAATGCCTGCTGTGGGCTAGGGGCACAGGGGCGGCTGTCAGCAGGGACACCCCCAGTGTCGGTGGTACAGGCACTGGAGAGTTTCAAAGCTGTGGCTTTAAGTCACAGGGATGCTTATGGGGGGGCACAAGTGAGCTGGAGGAGCCATCACCACCCTGCCTGGCGGAACGAGCATCTGTGATCCCCAGTCCCGGCAGCCGTGTGTAGGGCTCCTGCGGTGACAGCAGGTCCCTGCTCATCAGCATGCGGGGAGGCCACCGCCGCTGCTGCTGCCACCACAGCCACGCTAATCCCTGTGCTGCAAAGCGCCGAGCGCAGGGAGGGCTCTGCCAGCCTCCAGCCGTTCCCATCGACACCGGCAGGGCAGAGCGGGCTGAGCCCCCCGTGGGAAGCAGGAGCATCCCAATCCTAGTGTCCAGATGCTGGTGTTAAGTCCTTGCTGCAGTGATGGCGCATCCCCGTTCCACAGCCATGGGGGGCCAGGCCAGGTCCCAGCCACCCACCGGCTTAGGCTACCACCCCAAATCCACGTGTGGCTGACCCCACATATATGGGGCGCTGCAGCGCAGTGCTCAGCCTCTGGGGCCGCGCTCCTGGTGGGGCTGGCTGCTCTGAAGCTGCAGCCCTGAGGTTTCCTTAAGCCCTCCATAGGGCTTTCCCCCTGCGCAAGCCCAACCAAGGGTGGGAAGGTCGGTGCGGGACAGGATGCAGTGGAGCCTGCCTGACCCCAGAGACGCCTGCCTGCCGCAGCTTTCCCGGCACCTCCTTTTATTTGCCCGGGCACAGAGGCGAAGTGTTCCTGCTATGCAAAGAGCAGGCGGCGCGGGGCCGTGGCTTGCATGCCAAGCAGCCGCCGATCAAAGCTGGGCTTGTTCGGCCGGCGGCCCCAGCAGAGCCGCCGCTCCCCCTTGCTCACAGCCCTGTCTTATTCGCCGGCTCTCTCACCAGGTTCAGCAGCTTCTCCAGCTTTGCGATTTCCACCTCGGGGCCCTTCTCAACCTCCTGGCCTTTCTTCGCCTGCAAAGAGAGCAAGTGAGGCAGAGCTGTGAGCAGGGAGGGCTGCGGCGTCCCAGCTCTCAGCCCTCACTGGGAGCTGATCCACAGGGGGATGCACCTGCCTGTGGCTGTATTGCGAGCACAAGGTGCCGTGAGATGTGCAAAAGCCCCCGTGGATCGGGAAAGGTGGTACAGAAGGGTTTGGGTGCGGACAGAAATGGAGCTGGTGATCCAGAGCAACACAAACCCTCTTCTGCCTCTCTCCTCCCAGCCGTTCTCAGCTCCATGGGACTGGACCACTCTCTTTCCCCCCAGGCCCCACGGGGAGGCTCCAGGCATGCACCACTCCTAGAGCAGTGACAGCAGTGCAGTGTCCAGACCTCCCCAAAATGGTCCCACCATGCCCATCCCGTGCAGTGCTCCTGGGCAGAGGCAGTCACAGGAGGGGGGATCACATTCAAATGGCTTTTCCCAGGAGTGGGAAAAAGTCTCTCAGTGGCTGCTGAGAGCCCCTAACCTAGGGGGGAAAGAAGTGAGTCAGGGCTCCCAGGTGAGCTTTAGGTCCTTGCTTTGGCTCTCTTTTCCCTGGCATACCCTGAATGTCCCATGAGACAGCCTTGTCCCCCATTGCACACCCCTCTGCCAACCCCAGCACCTTCCCACACTTCCCAGCACCTCTCCCAACCCATCAGCTCCCTCCCTGGGTGCCAGAGCAAACCACCAGCATCCTGGGAGAAATCATATTGCATGAGGGAAATAAGCATGTCCAGTTCAGTCCTCGTTTGCTTCAGAGCATCAGGAGCTTCCAAGCAGGAGCTGCTGGGGGATGATGTCCCTGCTGAGGGTACCAGTGCCACCCAATGCTTTGGGCAGAGCATGTCCCGCGGCTGTGGGCTGCAGCATCAGTGCATTGCTCTCATCAGAGCTCAGAGGATTTGGGAAAGTGATAACTTGGGGCTGTCCAGACACATGTCATGGCAGACACAGCTGCAGCAGAGGAGCGCTCCAGCCTGCATTCAGCCCACCAAGGCCTCCTGCAGCTGAGCGTCCAACCCTGTGGGGTTCCTCCAAAGTAGCACCCACGCTGCTGCTGCATCCTATTGCTCAGCGCTGCCTTCCACTCACACCATTGCCCTTTGCCACCCTGCCGGCTCTTGCCTTGCCTCTGGAGCTGTGTGGGTCCCTGACCCAGGGCTGGGAAGCTCCTCTGTGTCAGCACAGCTCTGGGCACTCCAGATGCCAAGCACAGGCTGGTTCCCAGTCTGGCAGGGGGGGCTTGGGAAAGGTGCCAGCAGGATCCCAGCCCTATGGATCCCCAAAGCACAGCCTCTGCACACGGATGCTTTTCAGAGGCCAAGATGGCAGCAAGCAGCATCTGCTTTCTTCTCTCCCCACTTAGGAAAGATCAATTCTTTTCCTACTGAATCAACTCCTCGCAGCAATTAGAAACACGCACCTTTCCTTCAGCACTGACAAAAAAAATGCCAATGCACAACAAAGAGGAAGTTGTAGGCTGTAGGGATCTCTCTACATTTCTAGAAGTCCCTGGGAGTAATGGGTTTAAACTGAAACCAGACAAGTTCAGGTTAGATGTAAGGCAGAAGTTCTTCCCTGTGAGGGTGCTGAGGCGCTGGCACAGGTTGCCCAGAGAAGCTGTGGCTGCCCCATCCCTGGCAGTGTTCAAGGCCAGGTTGGACAGGGCTTGGAGCAACCTGCTCTAGTGGAAGGTGTCCCTGCCCGTGGCAGAGGGTTGGAACTGGGTAAGCTTTAAGGCCCCTTCCAACCCAAACCGTTCCAGGATTCTATGATCCCTGGGCTTCCTCCTTCTTCCAGCCCAGCACAATCCTGACAGAACAGAGGGTTTCTCAGCTGCTGGAGGACATGGATGGGATGTAAGCAGCTCTGGAGGGGGGAACGGGGACAATCCTAAACCCCTCTGCTCACAGAGAGCCCCACTGCTCATCCGAGTGCTCAGATTTACCAGTCCCATCCATTGCATGCCGGGACAGTGCTGGTTTGTATTAGTGTCTCTAAGTGAGCAACGCCCTTCGTGGCTCCGGTCCGGGCACTGCGAGCGGTGTTTGTACTAACGGCCCACGTCACAGCCGAGCATCTCTCCGAGCGGGAGCGTTGGGATAAACACAGCTGCTGGGATATTTTAGGACTCAGCTATTTCTGCAGAAAAGCTGCTTTGCTGCCTGACAGCATTCAAAGCGCTCCCTTTGGCACCCTGCGTCGCGCACAGCACCATACGCAGGTCCGTGGGACACTAACTAAAGAGGCAACTGCTTTGCTCAGCTGGGAAAAGGTGATGATGAAGCCACCTCCCATCAACCTGCCTCCACCCCAAGCCCTTTGCTCTCTCCACTGGTTGAGCCTGACTGATGGCCTCCAGGTAGTAAAGCCAGGTCCATGGGTCCTGCACCTTGTTGGAGTCACCAGACACAGGTAAGGCCCAGCTCCTGTCACCGAGCTGTCCCTTAGACCTTGACTTTCACACTGACTCTACTCCTTTGGTGCTTTTAAACAAGCTGCAACAAAGCCACACACAAGCCTGTAATGAGCCGTAACCAAACCAGAGCCCTAATTTAACGCCACATAACTAGGCAAGCAGGATGACACAGGGAAGGAAGATTACAATGTCCTTTTGGGTGCACTGGAATTGAAAGTTTCCCTTTGTTTCTCCATCTGCTTTTCCCAGGGTGCCTGTGCATGTGAGTGGCCGAGCTGCTGTCACACACATGACCATAGCATCGGGGCATCTGCTTGGATGCAGGGGCTTTGCCTGCATCAGGCCTCTGAGGAACAGCTCTTCTTGGAGCAGGGATGCTGCAGTTTCCTGGAGCATGCAGGGTGCAGGGAAGTATCACCTCCATGCATGGCTGCTGATGGGCTTTCTCTCCTGACGGATGCCATGTGTGGGAAGGGGTACTCTTTTCCACATGGCATGTAGCTGACCCGTTCTCCACCTGCATCTCTGCTTATATACCACATCCATAGGGCTCATCGGGAGCTGAGGGGGAGCTGGGGCAGAGCATCCCTCCTATGGAGCTGACAGATGCAGAGCTGTGCTTACAGAGGAAGTCTGTCCCTGAGGAGCTCATCGAGCGGGTACCAGAGCTGCTCACAGTAGTGTTTGCATCAATTTTATTGTTAACAGTTCCCAGCAGGAGAGCAAAATGCTTTTGGCTGAAATGGTGCTGAGGGACGTGCCAGGAAAGCTCACATCATGGGCAGAAAAGGTGCTGTGTGGGGATGGACTCTGCCCTGCTCACAGAGCATGACCCTATGGAGGTGAGATGGGGAGGAGACCCCCTACATATCCTCATGCTGCTGTGTTCATGGCCAAATCCCCCTCTGCACTCACACTCCCTTGGCCTTACGCCTGGGCTCTGTTCTGGCTCTCCAGGCAAATAAACTGAGGTACGGGGGTCCTGGCCCTATAGACATGGGCACAACTGCTGCAGGGCCCTCAGTGGTCCTCTCAGCCTCAGAGGTGAGTACTGACACTAGAAGTGAAGTAAGAGGTGGAAGATGACTGAGATGGAGCCCCAGGGGTGAAGGCAGAGCAAGGACAAGGATGAGGACTGGCTGTTTGAAGACCCCAGGCCAAGCCTTACCCACACTGGCACATCCTGAACTCTACATCCAGGATATGGGAGTCGCTTAGGCTGGATTTCCTGTGTCTCAGCTGATGCCCTCATTCCCTTGCTGAGCAGTAAACTGCCAAGTTAATAAAACTCCCCCATAAAAGCTGGCAGTTTTCAGCATCCTTCTCCCCCCACCCCATCGGTGTAATAATCATAA